CAGAGGGAAGCAGCTCTGACAGACTCAAAACTCTGCTCTCACTGGCGGCTCATACTGCTCAGCAGAAACTTCAATCCTCCCAGCTTTCACGGAGGCAGAACCCACACCCCCCTTTCTCTTCTCCCATCTCTACACTAATGATCCCTTCCTTTCATTTCTTCAGCCACAGCCATCCTCTGTCCTCATCTAAAGTCATTCAACAGCAGGGGTGACCAACACTGCTTTCCTGCCTTCACCGGTCACATCAACTCAGCCTTCAGACAGACGAACCACCGGAAGAAAACAGATGATGGACCACATACGACTGTACGGCTGAGCCTCACGGGCACAGCAACATCATCCAGCCCCACAGTGTGCCAAAGCACCTCCGTGTGTGATATCCACCCACTCCCACCCAATCCCATCGCACCAGAGGACTCTGGAAAATGGAGCCAAAGATTGACAGAGGGGTTGACTGGAAGGGCAGGGGATTTCCGAACAATGTCCCCCACAATCCCCACAAAACTCCCATAATGTCCTGTATTATCTGTGAAAGTTAAACACCGAAAGTGAAGCAGGTGTCCAACTTCCTAGCTAAAGCAGAAAAGAAGCATCTGCCTTACTGCAGATCTGAGGGGAAAAAAAGGCCAGCCCTCCAATGAAAAAGCCTGAGCACTAGTCGGTAACACCCGCCTTTGATCCCAGTGCTCAGGGGGCGGAGGCAGGAGGAGCTCTGTGAGTTCAAGCCCAGCCTGGTCTACAGAGCAGGTTCCAGTAAAGCCAGGAGTACACAGAGAAACCTTGTCTCGAAAAACCAAACAAACAAACAAAACAAAACAACGACAACAAAAGCCTGAGCACTAAGGACAGGCTGCAGGTCAGAGTATCACTTCTAAACTCGGTAAAGTGGTGCATGCCTGTAATCCCAGCACTAAGGGAGGCAGAGGCAGGCCAACCTCTGTGAATTCGAGGACAGCCTGGTCTACAAAGAGCCCTGGACAGCCAAGGCTATACAGAGAAACCCTGTCTCCAAAACCCAGAGTATCACTTCCGCATCCTTGAACCATTTCCACTCTTTCTACTCCTAATTGTCCTGTCTGATTTTATTAAACACGCACTCTCTTCAAGTTTATTCAGTTCTGGTTGTTTTGGTCCTCTCTCCCCCCACCAAAGCAATGACTGTCCAGTAGGGTTTAAGGAGAGATAACAGGTGCCAGGACTCCAAAATTGCTCGGTAATCAACTGTAGGTCTGACCACAGCCTCGCTCTCAGCTACAGCTTTCTGTCTCTCCTTCACCCTGGGATCTCATTAGACCCTAGTCTGTCATCGATGAAGCAGGGCTCTTACCTAGAATATGCTATACACAGTGGGCCGGAGAGATGGCTCATCGGTAGAGACCACTGGCTCCCCTTGTTGCTCTTCAAGAGGACCCGGGTTCAATTCCCAGCACCCACATGGCAGCTCACAACTGCCTGTAACTCCAGGGGATCTGACACCCTTGCACAGATTTGCATGCAGTCAAAACACCATAAAATAAAATAAAAATAAACAAATATTTTTTTAAAAGTTACAGACAGCTATGAGCAGTAGATAGTTGATGTGGCCTAGCACAGGCACTGACAGGCAATGGCTGACATTGCTCATTGACAGACACTGCTCACCAGCACTCAGAAAGGTACAGTGGTCTGCCATAAACCGACCTTTCAGCGCTTACAAACAAGAAGGCTGTGGACAACGTTTTCCTCCAAAGGCATCAACGGAATATAAGACACACACAAAAAAAAATCCAACTCAAGAATCAATGGATTTGTACTCAGAGCCAATCACATCACTTCCGTTTCTTCCTCTATAAATTAGGAAAACACTGTACTGTAACCTGACTGCATTACAGGCGAGTGAGACTCAAAGACAAGGGGCTGGGGGTGTGGCTCAGGGGTGGAGCACTTGCCAAGCTGAGGGAGGCCCACACACCTGCCTCCAAAGAGGACCAACCAGGAAGAAAAAGAAGTCTTCAAGGAAAAAGCAGTAAGGGAAGCCAGAGTCTGGCTTCTGTAAAAACATCACACCCAATATCACTCAACATAAACAAACCAGTGATGGTTCTTATTTTCCCAAGCACATTAGCTCTGATAGCCTTTTAATCTGCTCATTCGATCAGTGGCAAGAAAGGAGGAGGCAAACTGTCCGCTCCTTGCCGAGCCCAGAGCAGAGTCCACAGAAGCTAAATGGCTACTCCCGCCTGCTGGTCCAGCTTTGGCCACCCTGGTCATTTCTCCAATGTCAGTGCCTGGGAAAAACTAAGTAATGATTCTAGTTCCATTTGGGCATGTCAATCCTCGGAGTAAAACCCTCACCTGCAGGAGTGACCAACAGATCAAAGAAAGGGTCAGCCTTCCTACTGAGCGGTCCTCGGGATCTGCTCCAGACCATGCACCGTTCTTTCTTTCACGGGGCAACATTGATCTGGAGAGATTCCTCGGCGTTTAGCAGCATTTACTGCTCCTCCAAAACACTGAAGTTCAGCTCCCTGCACCCTGTCAGGCAGCAGCTCCCAGCCATCTGTAACTCCAGCTCAAGAGGACCTAACAACCTCTTCCGGCGCCCGAGAACACCTGCACACATGTGGCACACACACAAACACACACATGTCCCTGTAAATAAAAGTAAATAGGTAAAATGCAACAAACTGCTGGGTATAGCAGGTCACATCTGTCATCTCTGCGGTCGTGATGTAGAGGTAGGAGGATCAGGAGCTCTCTTGCCACAAAGCAGGATCAGGTAGGTCACTCTTGTCTATATAGGGAGTTCAAGGTTAGCCCAAACTATACAAGACCCTAGTAAAAAAAAAAAAAAAGGGGGGGGGGGGGGAGCCAGCCTGAGTTAGCTGGCAAGTTAAGACCAGATTGAAATACACATAAAGGAACCCTAGAAAAACAACCAAAAAGCTGGGCAGTGGTGCAGGACCTGGGGAGGCAGAGGCAGGTGGCTCTCTGTGAGTTCGAAGCCAGCCTACTCTACAGAGTGAGTTCCAAGACAGCCAAGGCTATACAGAGAAACCCTGTCTTGAAAAACCAAAACCAAAACAAAACAGTAATAACAAGAAAAATGCATGAGGCAGATGAAAAACCTCAGTGTTACTTGTTTGATTTCTCCCAATCCAGATGTCTCCCATGTACAGCCGCCTACTAAAATGTCTAGAAAGCTAAGAAGTGGGAGAGGGAGGAAAGGAGCGCTGATCTCCTAGTTTGGGGGGTCTCGAGGAGGAACTCCACACCCACCCAGGCCTTCCAATCAAAGGGGAAAGAAAGGTCTATTTTTTTTTTAACTGAACACCTACTACGTGCTCAGCACGGTGCAACGCCCACTTCCTACATTATTTCCAAGGCCCACTTTCTTTCCGACACCTAGAAACCACACAATACAAACATTCTGGTAGGAGGAAAACCCCAACCGGTTGGCAGTCAAGTTTTAGGCATTTTAAGTTAGCGCTGCACTAAACACAGAAAGGAGCTCCAGCTGAGGAGCACGGTCCAAGTTCTAAACGATTCTTTGCAGAACCAACCAAACCGCCTCAGCTATAATTCTGCAAATCAACACACACTACTTAGTACACCACTAAGAGACAGTTTAAGACTTTTACAACCTCAAGCATAAGAAAAGCTCGCTGGAAGGCTAAAATAACTGACTTGAAAGTGCATGTGGCAAATATGGAACTCAAGCTAACCTCTCGAGGGCCCTTGGGAGTCGTGCTCACAGAAGGCGGCTACAGTGAACAGCATCCTTTGTGGCCGGGTCATGAGTGAACTTATTCCTGCTGGCAGCAGCAATCTGGAAGATGTCTTTCTCATCATAAAACCTCACTCTCTCACCATCAACCTAAACGCCTGTGTATGGGACAAACAAATGGGGCCCAAACACACACGGATGTCCTGCCATTTAAATGCTATTCTCTCCATCCTCGGCACACTTTAAACAAACAAACAAACAAACAAAAAATACCACCGTCCATAATGAATCTCCATTGCTCTGCATTAACCCGTTTCACACAGGCTGTAATTATGCCTGAACTAAGCACCAAAATCAAAGCAATACAGACGTGGTATGTGTATTCTTGGAAATAACTTTGTCTCCAGACTCAGGAGAAAAATCAGCCAAGATACAAGGCTGACCCAAGCCCCCGATTGCGCTGAGGCGCCTGAAGGACCCCTTCTTCCCAGCAACAATTGTGAAAGAGCTGGATGATGCGCCGCCTGCCAAGCAGAGGAGCCAGAAACCTGCAATGGGCCATCACGCCTGCTGTCTGAAAACCCAGACAAGCCCCTATCTGGGTAGGGCCCTCCAAGGTTATTCTTAAGCTAGGGGTGTCTAGTGTGCCACGGGGACCTCCAACAGTGTTGTCACTTTGTAAGGCAGTTAGGGAGGGGGGCGGCGCGGAGATAAGAGGCCTCGGTGGCTGCCTGCAGCCCACTCAGTCTACCCCAGACGGGAATGTCAAGAGTTCTCTCATGGCCACCTGCCATAACGAACCTACACACTGCGCCGGCTGGGCTCCAGCCTAGGGACATCGGGGAGCGCAGCCCTGCTCCCAGGCTGGGTCTTCTCCCCTACAAAGCCTCCTTGGGCACACCCAGTCCGAGCCGCTCAGTCCCGCGCCTACAATCGAGGTGGCTCTTTTGAGCCCCCCCCCCCCCCGCCCCCGGGACGCGACCTGACCTAGCACCCGACTCCTGGAGGTCAGGGACCCGGACGCGGGCCCTGCAGCGCGGGAAGCGCAGAGGAGCTTCCTCGCCGGAGCCGGAGCTCCGCCAGCGCTCCGGACGCACGCGTCCGCCAGAGGGAGGCGCCGGGTCACAGGGCGGGTCGGGGCCCCGGGGCTGCCCCGGAGGGACGTCTCCGACCCACTCATCCGGGCGCCGCGGCCACCCGCGCCCAAGCCGCCGGTGGGCCAGCCGCCCACCCCCGGCACGCCGAGGCGCAGCGTGGGCGGGATGCAGCCGCTCCCCGGGAGCGCGGCGCTCACCTCTGCTTCATGCTGCTGCGTCTTCGTGGCCGGCGGGGCCACCCGGCTGCGCGCCGGGACACGCAGCCGCAGCCCCAGCGCGCTAGCCCGCAGCGTCCGGCGGGGCAGCGGCGGCGGCGGCGGCGGCGGCAGGAGCGGCGCCGCCGGGGCGGGGCCAGCACATGGGAGGGCGGGGGCTGCGGCCCTCGAGGCTGGACCACCAACCCCAACGGGGGCGCGCGCGCTCCGTGCTCCCGCAGTCCGCTCAGGCCTCTCTTTCTCGGAGACCCGCCGGCTACCCCCAGGATGGGGATCCATGAGTAAATCACAGGTCACGAGCAGAAGGTAAAGGAAGGCATGGCTGCCACTCCCTCCCTCTTGCTCTCTCCCCCACTCGGCACCGACCATATGGTACATTCCTGAAAGCCCCAATGGTGTAGGAGAGGAAAGAGATGATTGGCTGGGAATCTTGGAAGGGGCGAGAAGCCACACAAAACGGCCAACGGGAGCACTCCGGGGGCATATCAAAGCCGGCCAGACCCCGGACGGGAGGACGCCCTTAAAGGGGACCTGTTTATTGCGCCCAGAAGCCGCCACCAAACAAAAACTAGAATTTTCTTCCTGATCTCATCCAGATGAGCCAAAGTAGGGAAGTCTCGGGTTTTCAGGGGGAAAAGCTATAGAAAAGTTCCGAGACTTGAATCTATGTATCTATTTGACTTTGAGTGCACAACGCTGTCTCCCTACCTCAGTTTCCTTTTTCAACCCGATGAGGATGCTAGACCACACTTGACCTCTAGAAAGCATTTTTTTTTCTCCTTATTTCCTCATCCCCTGCCCGAAATTAATCTCTTCAATTCCGGACATCTTAAAAAAGAACTTCGGTTGAGAGTGAGTAGACCTTCTGACACCAACCACATCTTTACAGACACTAGAGCAGATAGTCTCTTATTTCTTGAAGGCACGTTGAATATTCTTTGGAGTCCCTGTCCTATGTTAAGAAAGAGCATTCTCCGTACCCGGGTGTGTGGAACGTCTGTGCCTCCTGAAGTCTGTGCTCCCACAGTCAGATGAAAGCTTCAGTTAATTCTTCACCCTCTTGCTGGACTGTGCAAGATTCCAAAGACACCTAGAAAAATCCAATTCTGCTGTGTAGCCTTCCTGGATGGGCCAACTCTAATTACTGCCGCAGAAGAATTCCCATTTCTACCTTGTGCCCCCTTGACCCTGATTTTCGGTGTTTGCAGCCCCCAAATGGAATCCCCTCGTTCCCTCCTACCCACAGCTGCTACTGCTTGTGTTTATTAACTGTTATGGTCTAGATAAGTAGTGTCCTTCAGAAAGGCTCGTGTATTTGATGCCCGGCCCCCAGCTGGCATGCTATTTTGGGAGGTGCTGGGAACTCTAGGAGGTGGGGCCTATCTGCCTGAAGTAGGTCATTAGGAGCCAGTCCTTGGAGTTATCTTGTCCCTGGCCTCTTCCTGACTCTCTGCTTCCTAAGCGACGCGAGGTGCACGTGTTCCCACGGCCGTGCCAGTCTGCCTTGTGGGCAGGGAACCCCCAAGTCCACAGAGCCCAGGAACCAAAGATGGACATGGTGAATGAAAAGAATTTCTCCCTTAAGCTTTATGTCAGGTGTTTTTGCCCTGTGAAGAAACTGACTAAACACAGTATATCTTGCATGCTGGGGACTGTTGGGAGAGGGTTATGCGCGTCATTTCATTCCAAGCTCACATCAATGCTATGAAGTACATTATTTCTATTCGTACCGTTATTCCTCCTGGAAGGAAAAATAAAAATAAAAAAGGCAAGGTGTGGAGAAGCTAACCTGTACAAGGACATAGAGAGGCCTGACTTTAGGGGGTGGGGTGGGGTTGTTTTGCTTGTTGATTTGATACATTCCAGGGTTATTTGGGAAGAGGGACTCTGAAGTAAGGAATTGCTTCCATTAGATTGGACTCTAGGCAACTTGGTGGGGCATTTTCTTGATTAATGATTGATATAGGAAGACCCAGCCAACGGTGGGCGGTGCTACCACCCCTGGGCAGGTGTGCCCTGGGTGTGTAAGGAAGCAGGCTGAACAACATGAGGGACAAGCCAGGAGGCAGCGCTCCTTCACGGCCTCTGCGTCAGCTCCTGCCCTGACACTTGCTTAAAGCCCCAGATTTGCTCTCCAGCCAGAGAGGGAAAGGGAGAGAAAAGAAAGAAGGGTGGGGTCAAAGGGGAGATATTTTCACAAATTAGGTTTCTGTGCTTGTAATACCATTTGAATCTCAAAGCAAGACGGTGTGGAGCGCAGGCAGAACTTTGTCTATACAAGGAAGAAAACTACAGCTGACAAAGTGGACCAACTTGGCCAAGGTTAAGAAGGCTGCTAAATAGTGGTGCCTGAACTTGGGAGGCAGAGGCAGGAGGATTGCAAGTTCCAGGCCACCATGATGTACATTCTGAGATCCTGTCTGAGAAAAACCAGAGCTTTGGGCTGTAACTCCTCTCCATAGGCTCAGGGTAACTCACCTAGCATGCACACTGCTGTGGGTTCCTGAGGCCTCCAAAATAGATAAATGGATCCTGGTTTCCAAAAGTGTGCATTCTCTCCACCTCCGTCTCCCACTCCCTAACAATCCTTTTACAACTTTAACAACTGGGCAACAATTGTAAGCAACAAGAAAAGAAATACAGAATAGCAAAGTGTCTGCTGGAAGGTTCTGGGCAGTGGTATCAGAAGTGAGCTTCTATCTCTGCCATGTGGGCTTGTTCAGTAAGTAAAGGAAAAGTGTTCTATCCCTAGCTTACAGCTCTGTGTTCACAAGGAAGGGCTGTGGGCGTTGCCTCTGAACTAAGATGCTTAGTAAAATATCCTGCCCTACTGGCATTTAGAATACAACCTTTTCTGTTTGTTTGTTTTGTTTCTGAGACAGTTTCTCTGTGCAGCCTGGATTTGCTTTGTAGACCAGGTTGGCCTAGGACTCACAGAGATCCACCTGCCTCTGCCTCTCAAATGCTGCACCACCATGCCCGACCTACCTTTTCCTTTCTAATTCCCAATACACGAGTTTTTTTTTAACTCTGCCAGCAGAAAGGGAATTAAAATACAACTTGACAAAATCATGTGTCTATGTCTGGAATAATAACCCCAAAGGTGAGAAAGCCTTCCTCAAACTCAGCAGCCTGTGTTCTTCTTTGCAATAGTCAGGAGTTCTATATACCAACAGCGGGTAAAACCAAGATGGGACCTTGTAGTGGAAATCATTAGTCACCAAAGCCACTGTGCCATCTAGAGCCATCACCTCACTTACCACTACCGAATGCTAGAGTCCCTCTGGCCTCTGAGAAAGACTTCCCCAAACCAGCTCCAGCACGTTCTGATAACCTCCAGAAATTCAGTAACTTTTGCCAACAGGGTTTTTGGTTTTCCTTGGCTTACATCTTTGTTTTCCTTTTAGTGGTGCTGAGAACAGAACCAGTAGTTTTGCACATGCTAGGCAAGGGTTTGAGCTACATACAGCCTCAGCCCTTCATGTGAAGTTGCACATCAGAGCATTGTTCTATAGCTGTGTATGCACAAAGGCTTGTAGGTACACATGTGCCTGGGTCCTTTGAGTCTCTGCATCAGTCCAGACTAAATATTGTGTACATATAGAAACCACAAGTAAACCTAGCCTAGTGAGGAGGGGGAGGATCCATTAAGGCCTTCCAATTCTACTTGCTTAGGATAGTGTTCTTTAAATGAAAACATTAAGGGTTGGAGAGATGGCAGAGTGAGTAGAGGCAGGAGCCCCAAGGACCTGAGTTTGGTCCCTCTGAACACGTATGGTGGAAGGGACAACCAACTCCCACAAGCTCTCTTCTCAGCCCTACAAGTATACCCACGCATACGTACAAAATAAGTGTAATAAAAATATAAAAACAAACACATTGCCTGTCTACCTTTTGGATAAAATCTAAGCACCTGGACCCTGGAGAGACAGCTCAAAGGTTGGGAACACTCGCTGTACTTCCAGAGATCCTGAGTTCAATTCCCAGCAACCTTCGTAGTGGCTCACAACCATCTATAGCAAGAGCTAGTGTGCAGGCAGAATGTTGTGTAAACAATAAATAAATCTTAAAACAACTAAGCACGTTAGTAAAACATAGTGGCATAGAGCGTTAATCTCAGCACTCAAAGGCTGAGGCAGGAGAATCAGAGTCAAAGCTAGCCTAGGCCACCAGAGACCCTGTCTCAAAAACAAACAAAATTCAAGAAACAACAACAAAAACACATGAAGGGGTTCCCTGGTATCCAGTTGGGGCCCTGGCTGCTTTGCTTGGTTCACACCCCAAGGCCTCGGGGCTCAGCAGGAACTCTCTACAGTGTCAACCCTAAGCCTGGGTTGCTGGTCACTGGTGTGCCACAACATCGGCTACCCTGTGGCCCTGAGGGTCTGTGTGTAGAGGGGGCTGCAGGCCCGAGGTCCCTGCAATGGCCAGGGAGCGATGCTGGCCCAGTGGACCACAGCTGTGGGAGTACTGTGGCCTTCCCCTGCACCAGCTCCAAGCACTGCTGTGCAGACAGCAGCGCCCCCTTCCTGCTGGGGCTGTGGCCGCACTGCCACTGGGAGCTGCGGCCTCTGAGGTCGCAGATACAAGGTGGGACACCTTCCAAGAACGATTGACAGATTAATGAGATTCTTTGGCCATTGTGGGACCGAAGTTGGAAGCAGTTCTGAGGCCCTTTAGCACGTATAAGCCTTCAAACCTGAATCTAAAACTCAGAAAGCTTTTGAAAAGGGTTTATTATTATATTATTATTGTTGTTGTCATTGTTATTACTATTATTCCCAAATTCCAGTAAACAAATGCAGATTCAACTTAGGTCGTTTTTTTTCCACCTACTTATTCGACCCAGAAATTAAAAGTGTTAAATCTTGTTGTCTAGGGCTGGAGAGATGGCTCAATGGCTACTGTCAATGCTACTCTTCCAGAGGACCTGGATACATTCAGTTTCTGGCACCCATGAGGCAGCTCACAACAACCTGTAACTCCTATTTTAGGAGATCCAACGCCCTCTTCTGGTCTGGATGGGCTGGTGCACATATCTATGTGGGAGGAAGCAGTCTGTGTGTATATGCATATGTATGTATGTATATAG